TGTATGGAGGAATGTCAGGGCTAGTAAACTGCCTATGATGATGTTTAACCGATGACTGATGACTGAAATGAGAGACCTTCATTGCATGTGATTGTTACTATAAGTTGAATATAGTTCGTTATGATGATGAACGAAGGAACGCGTGTGCTTGTGTTTTCAATCAATAAAATACAACATCAGATCATGTTTAAGGTTGAAAGGTATTTGTTCCGACAGAAGATATTATTCTCACCTAGATCTAGAGATTTCGTCCAGTCACTCTGGTCTTCTTCAATAGACGGAACTAATTCTTAACATGTACATTTGTACAAACACAGATGAACTTTCATGGCATCATAGGATCACGTACACAGACCACACCATCATTGCTACCAGTACACAAAAGTAAAAAGAATCAGCTCCTTGCTTTTTCGTACGATAATGGTTAGTTAAAATCATGCTGCTTATCCTTTATAAGCAATTCCCAGTTCCTCCTTTTCATGTTGTTTTCGTATCTTAGTGTCCACCTTATCTTTGGTGTTTAGTCTCCAAACACAATAATGATGTCGTCCGTATCCCTTACCAGTAAGCCTCCCGGTGACATCTCCTAGCTCGATCGTGTCTTCTTGATCTATCAACTATCCACAACATTCTGGTCTCGTGCCGTCATCCAAACATCCCGGTAACCAGCACGACATGTTACAAAGATAGTCCGTCGGTAGCTTCACAACAAACACAGCCTTTCCGCCCCGCGGTGGTGCGTGACCCCAGAAGCCCACCGCAGCGCCGACAGATCCCAAGTATCCGGAGGTTTGCCGGGGTTTGAAGGGGAAGTTTTTTTTTACCTCCATGAAAAATGGAGGTATTGTTTTTGGTCTCAGTGTGTGTGTGTGTGTGTGTGTTTGTGTTTCTGTACATTTGTAGTCATGATAACGTCAGACTGCCTTTTTGGACTGTGATGATATTTGGTATGTGGGTAGGTCGTAGGAAGACTGATCGAGGTCAATTATGGGCCTCCTGGTAGCTGACCTTGGTACTGCAGCAGAACTGCGTTTTTGTCCTTTGTCCTGAGAATGTTATGGTCTTGTGATTCGATAGTTTCAACAGCACTGAGTTGCAGAACACAATGCATCATCATTATAATTATCAGGGTCAACCCTGATAATTATCACTACTGCATACAGCAGGGCACTTGTGCGAGCCCCATTGAAGCAGATGGGGTATATATATTGAGGTCTTTTGAGGCATTTATCTGATAGAGTAATTCTAATGTTTCTGTCACGATAGTGCAGGTGACATCAGACTATAGAGTGTAACTCGAATTACTTTGGGAACGTAATATATGACACATATTGTCATTTGCCCTTGCATTCACTTGTAACCTTGAATATCTGTATGCCATGTTTTTAAGTCTTAATACGGTGTTTAAAAACACTGCCATACATATTTTTCGGTTTGTTTTCTAAATTTTAATTTGCTGTGACACAACACACACATGGCGTGACTAATCTTGCTGACCAAAAAAATTCCCTGGCAATGCCCCCACCTTTAACAACATCAGATATTCACCAGCTAAACAGGACTCGTCGCGGGGTGGCACTGCGCTGACCTGGGCAGGGATAAGTGTACCAGGCAACAGACTTCCCGTCATTTATTATGCAAACATGTCACTCAACGTCAAGTTATATTCATCAGATACTTATTCAGCCCAGATGTGCTAGAAGACATACAGGTAATGAGCCTTTTGGCAACTGGCGTCAAGTATTGTCATGACGTCACTTCAAGGTGAAGGACTCTTGGCACCAACTGCTAGTGCTAGATAGTAGCAGAGGAAATATACTACAGTATGCTTTGATGACATAATCGCTTCTTTTCTGGGCTTTTGTCCTGTTTCTCCATGAAATTAATTGTTGAACAACATTTTGTTTTGCGTACAAGTTTGATAGACTGATATCCAGTATTGGTCGTCGTCTTCAGTGGAGGGGACCAATAGCAAACATGGCTGGACCTTTAATGAACGGTATTTTTAGCAATTATTCATGTGTATTATTATTCCACCAGGATAACATTTTTGGATACGCCTTGCCCATAAGCAATTTGACTTCCGACACCTTCCCTCCCCCTCCCTTCTCCCTCCTTTCTCCCCCTTACTTGCGCAGCTGGAGAAATAACCAGCCAATATATTTGTCATCAGCATGCATATGGGTACGAAGGTCCTGCCTTTCTGTACATTAGTCTGCCGCCTGGGCTACCATTTCTCTTCCTCTTCTGCACCATTTAACTGGAAGTAAATGCATTTTGTCGTCGCTTTCTCGGATGCGCCCATTGCAAGGCAAAACAAGCTGTTACGTGTATCTACTATGTACAAAATTTTGTAAAAATCAGTGTAATTCAGCTTGGTTGACTGTGTAAACTGGCTGCAAGGCTGATTTTATTAATAAAACTTGAACTTGAACTTGAACTTGAAGGAAGGGGTCCAGATTTCAAGACGTGGTGACAGTTTGGGACAGGCCAAGAGGCTTTGGTCAGTTCGATGTGTGTCTTTCAAACTGTATTGTGCTAGATATTGTGGTTTTTTGTAGGACTCTCCTTTAGCTGCCCGCCGATGGGTGACAGCCATTCTACCAGGAGAGGGTAGAGTGCATAAGAACATAACAATACACCAACATACAATTACATAAAGTTACATTATACTTATCTTACCCCACCTTTGTATTGTACTGCCCTGTACATGTCTGTACAGCTGCAGATAGACATAGTGAGGTTCTAGTGTGGTAAATGCAGCTCAACCTACGTGGGTTTGCGGCTAACCAGAGACATGTCCAGAGGGCCTGCAAGGTTATCTGAAAAAGCCTGAAATCTTGCTTTAGTGCATAAGATCTAACACGACACACACGAAAAGCAAGAAACAGTACTTTTGCCCTGTCTGTACAGCTGCAGATAGATAGACATAGTGAAGTTCTAGAAGTGCCGTGGGTTTGCGGCTAACCAGAGACATGTCCAGAAGGCCTGCAAGGTTATCTGAAACATACAGCGCCTGAAAGCCTGCTGAAGTACATAAGATCCAACTTGACACAAACGCGAAACGCAAGAAACAGATGCAGCTCTTTTTAATATCACCAGCAGCTGGTTTCCTGACTCTGAGGACTCTTTCATGTATTGGAAGTGATCACGGCTTCCAGAGAACGTGTTTTGGCTCGCAGAAGCTTTTCTCCGTGAGTGATGGCTTCCCTCGGGGAGAAGATTAAATCCTACCGGGTTGCAGACGTTGACCTCGACTTTAAACGTCTCAGAAGCTCGGCAGAGCGATGTTTTCTATTTGCTGCAGCCAGATTGCCGCGGCTTGAGAATGAAAATCTGTTCCGGGTGCTCGAATTCGGCTTACCACACCGACACAGGGCACGATATTATTACAGCTCATATATTTTTCTGGTTCCCCCTAAAACCGTTACCAGCGTTGGTATCTTAGGATGTGGATAGGACATCTCAGCCCAGTATGTACTAACTAACGGTGAACACCGTTATCCTTTTTAATACTACTGTAAACGATATGTGCGGCGGTTGGTTACCAGCGTTTCTCCCAGGATGTGGGGAGGACATCTCAGCCCAGTATATACTGAGTAACGGTGAACACCGTTATCCAGTTACTACTGTAAACGCTACGTGTATCGGGTGCTCGCTCACGCCTTGCTGAGGGCGGTCCAGTCAGAAGTTCAAGTACAGCTCCAGACTCTGTGATGACAAGTAATCTCTCTACCAGCGAGCGGCCAACACCTCAATTCCAACCGCACACCCTCCCACACGCCGACCCGACACGCTGTCACATCATGAGGGTGTTTCACCGATAATACCAGACGGGTGTTTTTTCGGGAACACCACCTTCTCTCTGAACTGGTAGAGCCGCTGTGATCCTTTCTGCACTCCACTTCAAGCGGCTGTGTCGTCTGGGCAATTTGCCTGTCTGGCCGGCCATGCATTCAGCTGGAAAATGATCTTTTGAAGTCATGACCATTTCGTCCGATTCCAATTTCGCTGGCTATAAGGTCCTTAGAGCTACCACAAGGGCTATAATAACTCTTGCGGTAGCTATACATTACCTGTATACCTGTATGGTAGAAAGGTAGCGATGTCGTGGTAATCTCCAAGCAGATCTTTTGGTGGCTGCAGAGACAGATACCTAGGGATGGTAAAATGGTAACTGTCTGGAAAATGGATACTGCCTGGCCAATTTGATTCTCTATTTGCAGCTACTAAAAGATCTCTATGGAGATTAATGTCATGGCTAGAACCAGCCATTTGATTTGATTTATTAGACGGTATAAGACACGAAACAGCCATCATCATCACCATCTGTACACTCTGCATTTCGGTGACATTCTGCCACGAAGAGAAATCCCGTGGCATTACTAATAGCCTCCCAAGGCCATTATTATTGCTCTGTGTGGGAGATAAAATGTTCGTAGATTTCTCCGAAGATTGCGACTTCTGGAAGTAACATAACCACAGGGACAAACTAGAAAGGTAACATTTGCAAATCAAATGCATAATGTTTACCTTCGCATATAGTCTGCTCTGTTGATTCTTACTCAAACACACCCATATATATGGTCAGACAGGAGTCTAAATCTCTACTGCTATAAAGTTGCAACATGATGTAACTTAACACTAGTTACCATGGTAACAGACACAACATTGGTTCAGGTCATTAAGGTCACTGTTTGGAGAAGAAGAAGAAGAAAGATGAAGAATAAACTGAGCAATACCAATATGTTTTCCTTTGGTAAACATAATTATACGCCTCCACGTACGATGTCCTTGTTTACCTCCAGATGGTAGCGAGCCAAATCTGCACTCTGCTCCTCTCCTGTGGACAAACCAGTTGGGTTCCTGTTCCTAGAACATCTTCCTAATTGGAGACCTTGGTTCCTCATCTCCGTCCAGTTTGTACCTGCCATTAGTGCTGCTTCTAGCCCAGGTTTCGTGTTGCGTTCTAAACCTGAGGTTCATTTCTGATCTCCTAGCTGAGGTCGTGTCGGTCTAGAGGCGGCTTAGGCCACAGCAAATAAATTTTATGGATTACATCATCTGCAGACTCCAAATCTAATGCGATAGGGCGAAAAAAAAGGCGGACCGAAAAAAACAAGATTCCATTAAAAAATGTTGCCGTCATCAACCTTGAATGATATGGGATGAATTGATACCTATATTTTGCTATTTTTATTTGAAAGAAATAAAATACATTACTGCATCAAAGGAAAAGACAAAACATTAAATCAGAGCAGAGCCTTGTCTTGTCTCCTCTCTAAATATTTGTCTGCCATCCACCTTCCGGCACAGCAACAGTCATCTTTGGCCATTTGCGGCATGTTGACCGCTGCGAGAGGACGACAAAGTTTTTTTTTCTAAAATCGGGCAAGAATTAATGCGCACGTTGATGTCATCCATAAAATGTACTTGCCGTGGCCTAACCCTGAGGTTCATTTCTGATCTCCTACCGGTTGTGTCGGTGTAGAAGCGGCTTAGTGGCCTTTGCCCCGGCCGGTCCCTGGGAACACATGTCCGGCCTGATCCTACACGGTGTAAGTCACGGGGCGAGCTCAGGCACGTTTCTGCGAGCTTTATTGGATTTGCGGGGCTTTTCTCGTGACAGGGTCAAAGTCTGGGTATCAATCATGGACAGGCAAATGGATCCGAACCAAGAGTCCCGGGTTCGAACCCTGCCATACAGTGCCACTGGTCTTGTGCCCTTGAGCAAAGGACGAAAATGATTCTTTCAGAGGAAGCTATCTTTTGAAACGATCTAGTTCATACCGTTATACAACGATTTGAAGATATTTGAGGCATTTTACGTGACAGGGTGAAGTCTTGGTATCAATCATGGACAAGGAAACAGATCTAAAAAGCAAAGGAGAGTGGGATCGTGTGGCGTTATGGTCGAGTGTTCGTCTCGGAACGAAGAGGTCCCGGGTTCGAACCCTGCGGTTCCACCGGTCTTGCGTCCTTGGGAAAGGCACTTAACACGACTTTCCTCACTTATTGTACTGTCACCATCCTCTGTGTTGGAACCTTGTCTTTTGATGACATGTTGGGAAAAATAACAAAAAAGTTAACTTTTCAAGCAATCTGGTTCATACCGTTACACAACAAATTTGAAGATAAACACTAATGAAACAACTATGCTGTTAAAAGAAGATGTGACAAGGTCAGTCGTGGACAAGGAAACGAAAGCAAGGGTCAAAATTTAATAAAAAAGCGATCTGAGCATGATGTCCCTCGCTGGACCTTGGCTCAGTAATTGTCTCCGCATTCCCTCGTATGTCAGCCTTCAGTGGAATGACATAAGGTGTAGTGGGCCTGACCACCCCCACTTCTCACTTGGTAGCTCCCAGAATAAACTCCCAGGATTCCTTGCTGCGCATGCGCACTAGTCAGTCTTTATTTTTTGAGCCTCTGGCAACACACCCCCGGTGTTTTCTCTTGGTAAAAATGGGCTCGAAGCGCGAGGACAGACGACGCAAGAGTTCAAGAGCTTCCGAGGAACGGGAGGAGCGCTCGCGCTCCTCCTCGAGGCACGCCAGCCGCAAGAGGACGGCGTCCAAAACCGAGCACATGGCGCCCCCCTCCCCACCTGGGGGCGGCCATGATAGTTCTTCACAGCACTCACAGCCGCCCAAGTTGCGGCCTGTTACGGCCCCGGGCGACGACGTGGACTCCACGGCGGGCGGAATCGAGTCTGAAGAACGTCATGAGGAAGAGAAAGACACACGTGTCGACTCTCAACTCGAGAAGAAGAGCGAGGAAGAAGTCTTTTTGGAGACTCAAGAGAAGAATGGTGACAGCAGTGCCGTACGTATATCTGCCTTAGAGCAGAATTTCTCTTTGCTTTCAGATAAGCTGGACGGACTTCAAGAACTGCTGGTCAACCAACTGACGTCTTCAGAACCCTCCAGGAAGCGGCGAGCTTCGACTGGCGGGGGACCGGTTGCAGAGAAGCGGCAGCGCTTCACAGCTCAGCCGGAAGAAGGGGAGGGGGGCGGCAGCGCCTTCCGACGACAGCGCGTCATCCG